GTGTGTGCCTGAGGGAGAGAGAGAGGGGGTGTGTGCCTGAGGGAAAGGGTGTGTACCCGAGGGAGGGAGAGCGGGTATGTATCCGAGGGAGAGCGGGTATGTATCCAAGGGAGGGAGAGAGGGTGTGTACCTGAGGGAAAGGGTGTGTACCTGAGGGAGGGAGAGGATGTGTACCCGAGGGAGAGGTTCTGTCCCTTTGGGAAAGGGTGTGCATCCAAGCGAAAGGTTTGTAGCAGTGGGAGGGGATGTGTACTAGTGGAAGGGGGCATGTACCTGAGGGAATGAGGGAGAGAGTGTGTAGCTGGGGGAGAGGGCATGTAGCAGTGGGAAAGGGTGTGTATGCGAGCAAGAGGGCATGTACCAGTAGGAAGGGGTGTGTACCCAACGGAGAGTGTGTGTACCTCATTGGGAGGGGTGTGCCTGTGCAAGGATGTGTACGTGGGTATGTTTGTATACCCAGGGAGGCCTGTGTCAGTGACTGAGTTGTGTCCATGCCATAACTGGTGTTGTACCTCTGTGACTGGGCCCAGTGTGACGCTGCCGGATTAATTCTGAGTGTTGCTGAGACAGAAGCTCTGCTGAGCTCGCCAGGCCCTACAGATTGAGGCTGGCAGGGGGCTGAACCTGGGTGACAGTGACAGCTGTGACCATTGCCCTGGTGCAACATACCACTCACCCACTGTCTCAGGGTAGTCAACTCTGGGCATTGTCCTGGTGGGGGGACAGCACTTGTTCTGCTACCATTGGGTGCCAGGCATATCTGTTCTCATGGCGCCCAACTTTCCTGTGCCTGTCAGAATGTAAATTGTATATTCGGTACTTAATTGGATGATTCTTGATTGCAAATCAATCAGCCTTTTCCCATTGTTGATATTTTTAACCTCAATAAACAAGCCAGGTTAGAGAATATTTTCATTAAAAAGTAATTTTTAGTGTCCCTTTTTTGTTACTCTGAGTTACTTCTTGCATTGTCCTGGGGTTGAATCTTTTGCTTCCTGGGGAGCACATGGCAAGCCTGTAAGGTTGGTAACCCCAGCTAGAACATCGATCAAGAGGGATAACTTTGTTATCTGGGACGGGAACAGAGACAGGACTGGGGTGATAAATGTTTAACTGCATCAGGGCTGATGTAGTTAAATGTTCAAAGGAGTGGTAATTTCCCCAAAAAATGACATTCCTCTTTTACTTAGAAAAAAATTTTTTAACCAATGATTTAAATGTAATAAGTATTCTGGAGACCTCTAGTGGTATATAATAAGCTATTGTTTCCTCGACAATTCCTTTATCTGAGTGTATTTGGATTAGATTATTATTTTTTGTTTGCTTTTAGTCTCTCATGTGATGTGGGTGTCACTGGCTGGGCCAGCATTTATTGCTCCAACCTGTTGATGAGCTGCCTTGTTGAACTGCACAGGTTTTGGCATGTAGGGGCATCCATAGTGTTGTTGTTGATCCAGCAACAGTGAAGGAACGGTGATATAGTCCCACGTCAGGATTGAGTGGCTTGGAGAGGCACTTACAGGTGGTGGTATTCCCATGTATCTGCTGTCCTAGTCCTTCTAGATCGCAGTAGTCATGGATTTAGAAGGTGCTACCTACGGAACCTTGGTGAATTTCTGCAGTGCATCTTGCAGGTAGTATACATTGCTGCTAGTGAGCATCGATGATGAAGGTAGTGAATGTTTAATGTAGTGGATGTGATGTCACTCAAATGATGTTGACATTTCATCATTTGGATGTTGTTGAGCTCCTTGAGTGTTGTTGGAGCTGCTCTTGTCTAGGCAAGTGGGGAGTATTCCTTTGGACTGCAGATCTGTGCCTTGTAGCTAGGTTGAGGCTTTGAAGAGTCAGGCGATGAGCTGCTTGCCACAGAATTCTCAGTTTCTGATCTGCTTTTGTAGTCACTAAATGGTGAGTCCAGTCAGTTTCTTGTCAATAGTAACCCCCAGGATGTAAATAATGGGGAATTCAATGATGGTGATACCAGTGAACATTAGAAGAGATGGTTGGATTCTCTTTGGCTGGAGATGGCCATTGTCTGGCACTTGTGTGTCATGAATGTTACTTGCCACTTGTCAGCCCAAGCCTGGATATTGTCCAGATCTTGTTGCATTTGGACATGAACTGTTTCAGTATCTGAGGAGTTGTGAATGGTGCTGAACATTGTGCAATCATCGGTGAACATCCCCACTTCTGACCCTTTAATGGAAGGAAGGTCATTGATGAAGCAACTGAAGATGGCTGGACATAGAACACTATCCAGAGGAACTTCTGCTGAGATGTCCTGGAACTGAGATGATTCACCTCCAACAACCAATACCATCTTCCTAAGTGCTATGACTCCAACCAGTGGTGTGTTTCCCCCTAACTCCTATTGATTCCAGTTTTACTGGTACCTCTTGATGGCATTCTCAGTCAAATGCAACCTTGATGTCAAAGGCTGTCACTCTCACCTTGCCTCTGGAATTTACTTCTTTTGTCCATGTTGGAACAAAGGCTGTAACGAGGTCATGAGCTGAGGGACCTTGGGCAGGCAAAACTGGGTTTTGGTGAAGAGGTTATTGTTGAGCAAGTGCTGTGTGTAGGTTGATAAGGCCAGGTTGGATTGTGATGCTTTTGTGCGAAAAGGACTGACTTGGATAACATCCAGATTGTGGAGTTGACGCTTGTGTTGTAGTGTATTGGAATGCCTTAGTTAGGGCGACTCTAATCATAGAGCACATCTTCAGCACCAAACCAGGACCTGTCATCTTTGCAGTGTTTAATGAGCTTAACCATTGCTGTTTTGTGTGGAATGGATCAAACTGATTGCAGACTGCCTTTGGTGATGCTGGCCCTGAGGAGAAGGCCTGAAATGTTTATTAAGTATTAATATTTGGTTGTTTAGAGAAATATGTGTGTAATTCCTATTAGGATTTTTGAATGGTTTAGAACACATACTCATTGTGGTTTTTATAGTTTTGGCATAGTTATTTGACTGGACCAGTAATCTCGGACCCTGGAAGGTGAATTCAAGTTGAATTCAGTTTTTCAAAGTCTGGAAATAAATTGCTGGCATTATTAAAAGTTAACCTAACTTGTTCATTAATGCTGTTAGAAAAAGAAACCTGTTTTCTTAGCTTCATTTGGCAGTCTTTTGAAAAAGCCTTTTAAACTTTAAACTTCTTAGAGCAGCTCAGAATGCGCAATAAATCGTGGCTTTGTCAGTGACGCCCATGATCTGAAAATGCCTCAGTGATTATCCAGGTTGTTCTGTTGACTTCAGGACCATGTTTTGTCTTAAACCAAACATTTCAAAATCTCCATTTAAAGTTATATTGTGAAGAAAAATATTTGTTAGACACTGTTTTGTCTACCCTTAGAATTTAATTGTAACCTTGAGTTTGGGCAGTTCTAGAAAGTAAATAAGTTTACAAACTGAAGAGATCTCTTTTATTGTCTAAATTTTCATTGGATCCAACAGCTAATGATATTTGTTATCCAGGTGATGATAAAGCTGCTGAAAGATGGCAACAGAAGTAATCACAAACCTGCCCTCACTAGCTCCAGCTTCTGGGGCTGTGGATAAATTTCCATGTAAGTGCTGTTTACTTTTCATGCTAGCACCATTGCAGAACTACTTTCACAATATTTGGAAACATTAATGGTAATTGCATGCTATTCTTCAGGTTCCACACACGTTCTGTGATGCTGCGTCTCAAGTACATAGGGGACAACTTGTGCATTAACGTTAGTGTAGCCAATTCAGAAAGAATATTAACCAAATCCAGATATCGGGCAGCTTCACCCTTGTGATAGGGACGTGGGAGTATGGAGCAGCAATAGGCTATTCACCCCTTTGAGGCAGCTCCACCATTCAGTAAGGTCTTGGCTGATGTGATTGTGATTTCAGTTCCAGTCTCCTTTCTGCCTCCCAGAAGCCTTGTGTCCCTCGACAATCAGTAATTCATCTAACATTTGATGAAGTTTTTGGAAAAGCAGGGGAAGCCTGAATAAAGACAAGGGAAAATAATGTGAAAGTAATGTAAAACTTTCCAACAACTCAGTCTTTTAATTGAAATTCTGCACCGCTTCAAGGAGTCAATAATCATATTTTGGTTTTCTATCAAATATTAATATTTGATCAGACAAATAACTGTGTACAACGATGCCAGATGCTGCTATATCTGGCCCGAAATATAACTATTATTAAGTAACTAGTGCCTGGAAAATAGTTTGTTTAGTTTTGGTAAATCCAGTCAGGAAGAATATTGTAGATCTTAGCAGAGGATGGCAACAATTTCAAACTGATAAGCTGTTTCAGCAGTAGAGACCGAGAAACAGAAAGGTTTAAATCATTTTGTTCGCTAGGGGTGAAATAGAAAAGCGGCATATAGCAGCTGAAGGGAATAAGATTTTTAAAAAATGAATTCCACAACTGGTATTCAACAATGCATTATTAATTGGTATTAGTTGTTGACCACCAACACACAGTGAGAAGGTAATTGGGGAGCACTTGAACTGACCAGGAACCAGCAGAGAATCGTCACATACTGACTGGAATGCAACGTAGGGACTGTTTAACATCAATATTGGAACAAAAAGCTCAGTCCTAGGTTGCTTCCTCACACACGTGACGGTGAATGCTGAGCAGGGGATTGTATCAGAGTTGGTGCTTGACAGCCCTCCGTGCTGGATAGGAACCTGGAGGCTGCAGATTTCAGGAATCCTTGTTGAATTTTAGCTATAACCTAGAAAGAACATTTCAGAGGGGCAGAATGATTCTTGATTGCCTCTTTCTGCAGGATGGGTTTACAACCTTAATTAGTAAGTTATAAGGCTCATCACAACTGCAAAACGACTGGAGCAATTAAGCCTTCAAAGCCACAAGTTGTATTTAATTCCATTGAATTCTGTAGTTTTGACAATTAATAACCATTTATATGTTTGCATCAGTTGGTGGGAGGAGATTTTGTCGGTGTTTGTTAGGCTGGTCACAATATATCTTCAAATTTCAGCAAAACTTGACAATGGATAACGAATGGCCCAAGGAAGAATTGGTTAGTTTTTGGTAGTGATGCAGATCTGATCCGGATCCTGGAATTTTTTTTTAAAGGACACATTGGGAGATTGGACAAACTATCGTTTTTATTTCCAAATGTCGTGAGATGTTTTATTTAGATGTCGCAAATTGTTCTAGAACATGTGACAGCGGCCAGTTATAAGCAGAATATTCAGAACAGCTTGGGTGAATTTCTGCAGCACATCTTGTAAACGGTGCACACTGCTACTACTGAGCATCAGACATGGAGGGAGTGGATGTGGTGGCAATCAAGGGACTGCTTTATCTTCCATGGTGTCAAACTTAGACTGTTGTTGGAGTTGTATCCATCCAAGCAAGCGGAGAGCATTCCATCACACTCCTGACTTGTGCCTTGTAGATGGTGGACAAGCTTTGGGGAGTCAGGTGGTGAGTTACTTGCTGCAGTACCTGCTTTGTAGCCACTGTATTTATGTGGCAAGTCCAGTTGAGTTTCTTTCTTTATTCATTTACGGGATGAGGGCATCACTGGCTAGGCAGCATTTATTACCCATCCGTAATTGCCCAGAGGACAGTTAAGAGTCAACCACATTGCTGTGGGTCTGGAGTCACATGTAGGCCAAACCAGGTAAGGATAGCAGTTTCAACAGGCCAGGCAGCATCAGAGGAGCAGGAAAGTTGACATTTCGAGCCGGGACCCTTCTTCAGAAATGGGGGAGGGGGAAGGGAGCTCTGAAATAAATAGAGAGAGGAGGGGTGGGGCTGGGGAAGGTAGGTGGGATAGTGATAGGTGAGTGCAGGTAGGCAGTGGTGGGGATTGGTCAGTGAGGTGGGAGGAGTGGATAGGCGGGAGAGAAGATGGACAGGTTGTGTCAGGTGAAGGAGGCGGGGATGAGAGGGAGGGTTGGTCATGGGATGAGGTCGGAGGTGGGGAGATTTTGAAGCTAGTAAAGTCCACATTGAGAACATTGGGTTGTAGGCTCCCAAGGCGGAATCTGAGGTGCGGCTCCTCCAGTTTCCGGGTGGCGTCATTGTGACACTGAAGGAGGCCCAGGATGGACATGTCACCCAGAGAGTGGGAGTGGAAGGGGGAGTTGAAATGGTTCGCAACTGGAAGATGTTGTTTCCCGTGAACAGTTTCCAGTCATGAACCTTTTCAACTCCCCCTCCCAATCCCTGGGCAACATGTCTATCCTGGACATCTCATCCCATGACCAACCTTCCCTCTCATCCCCGCCTCCTTGACCTGACACAACCTGTCCATCTTCTGTCCCACCTATCTGCTCCTCCCACCTCACTGACCAATCCCCACCACTGCCTACCTGCACTCACCTATTACCATGCCAACTACCATTCCCAGCCCCACCCCTCCTCTCAATATTTATTTCAGAGCTCCCTTCCCCCTCCCCCGTTTCTGAAGAAGGGTCCTGACCCGAAACATCAACTTTCCTGCTCCTCTGATGCTGCCTGGCCCGCTGTGTTCCTCCAGCTCCACACTGTGTTATCTCTGAATCCAGCATCGGCAGTTCTTACTACTTCCAAGGATAGCAGTTCCCTTCCCTAAAGGCCATCAATGAACCAGATGGGTTTTTCCCAACAATTGACATTAGATTCATGGTCATCATTAGATTCTTAATTCCAGATATTTATTGAATCCCGCAGTGGCGGGATTTGAACCCAGGCCCCAGAACGTTATCTGGATTGACAGTCCAGTGATAATATCACTAATTATTCACCTTCCCTTATATTTCTGGTCAATGATGGTAACACCATTGAATGTCAAGGGGTGGTGGTTTGATTGTCTCTTATTGGAGATGGTCATTGCCTATTACCCATCTCCATCATTCTCTGTTGAAACAAGTACTCCATTTTTATCAGACTGTGGAAAAACAATGCTTTGTTTGTCATGTTGCTTGAATTTGTTGTGCATTTTCTTACATGGTTTGTTTATCATGAAACCTTTTGTAGTCTAATCATGTTTTCCCCTCCCATCCAGTATTGCAACAACCAAATGAAAATGAGAAGCAAAGCCAGATACATCCATTTATTAATCCCACCAATGCCATTGTATTCCGAGAAAAACTGGAACGACAACAAAAGGTAAACGTTGGGCATTCTCCAGCAGAGTTCCTAATTATCCAATCTCTGCCTAAATACTTGTTCTACAGCTGTGATATTTTAGAACAACTGATTGTAGAGGTTCCCTTATATTAGCAGAAGAAGTAGGAATAGGAATAGCCCCTTCAGCCCACTGAGCTGGTTCTGTCATTCAGTAAGAATCATTGAATGTCAAGGGGCGACAATTAGATTCTTTCTTGTTGGAGATGGCCATTGTGTAGCTCTCATGTGGCTCTCATACGTAGTATGAATGTTGCTGTGTGATCTTTTCATGTACCTTGGTTTAACATTTCACACAAAAGACAGAACCTACAACCAAGAACCCCTTTCAGGTTCACAGTGTGGAGCTGGAGGAACACAGCAGGCCAGGCAGCATCAGAGGAGCAGGAAAGCTGACATTTCACTGTGTTCCTCCAGTTCCACACTGTGTTATCTCAGACTCCAGCATCGGCAGTTCTTCCTACCCTTTTCAGGTTCTTCTTGTTCTTGCGTGGTCTGTCTCTTTCAATGTGTGGTATCTTTAAATTTCTTTTGGGTCGATGATGATGTGTAGTATCTTAAGGGGAGTGACTCGTGAGCAGCTTGGTACAACCTCCCACATATGTGCGTGACATAGAGGAAACATTGCTTCCTACAGTACAGCACTCACTCAGGAGTGGCTGCCTGAATAATGTGCTGAAATCTCTGAACTGTGATTTCACCTAATGAGATTTGACACTGACTAACATTTGCAGAGGTTCAGGGGCTCCAGAGAAGTGCAAGAATGTGTAAATGACCATCATAACTGTTGCTTGCTGTTGAACTTAATTTTTGTGCTTTTATTCAGGAATTACTAAATGCTCATAGTGGCCTGGGTTATTTGAGAAGCACCTTTACATCGAGAAGAAAATCTTTTTCTAGCAGCTGGCGAAGATTTGCCTTGGAACAGCAGGATGAAGACAAGAAAAATGAAGAACCCAAGCCTGTGTGTTTTGTTAGAGGTGAATATTCACTTTGTGCTGAAGAATTTCTTTCAGTATTATTTTTCAGGAGTGTGGATGAGTGTCAAATTGCCCACTCCTCTGAGTGTGGTCAAAAGCTGCCTTCTTGGATTGTTACTATCCTGTGGTGAGAAGACTGTGCCTTGGATAAGGAATCTGGGGTATGAATCCAGTGATAATGATGAAAGAGCAATATAGACATAGAATCATAGAAAATAGGAGCAAGAGCAGGCCATTTGGTCCTATGAGCCTATTCTTGATTTAATGTATCCCGTTCCCACTCATCCCACACACTCCAGCAACCCCCACCCCCCCGACTTCCTCAAATGCTTTGATCCCTTTAGTCATAAGAACTGTATCAAATTTCTTCTTGAAAACATTCAGTGTTTTGGCCTCAACAGTTTTCTCTGGAAGACAATTCCACAGACCCACCACTTTCTGGATGTAGACATTTCCCCTCATCCCCTCATCTCAGTCTTAAATTTCCTAACCCAAATAGTTAAACTGTGACCCCTGGTTTTGGACTGCCGGCAAATACTGCCCTTTTTTTTAAACTCCAGTGAGTATAGTTCTAACTGATCCAGTCTCTCTTCATATTTTAGCCTTGCCATCCCAGGATTCAGCCAACCATATGTACCAGAGTCTATGTCCTTGACAAATTGCTGCAAAGCTTTATGGAAGCTGCACACTTCTAGCCATGCTGTAATTAATATACTAACTGATTTTACAAAATAATCAAACAACCTAAAGGGAGACTCTAGGAGCAACGAAATAAAAATGTCATGGGAGTGGGAAATAATGAACCCTAGTCCCCATAGTGCCCACTGGTCCTGTTAAGCTTCAAGTGTAGTGATTCTAACAAGGTCAACCAGCTGGACCTCATGGAATATGAGTTCCCTGATTGGGACTGTTAATGTGGTCCAATCAGTCAGCCCTGGCTGACAGATAAAAAGGGATGTGTCACAGATGCTGACACTCTGAGAGCTGACTCTGAATGAGGCAATACTAAATAAAGGGCGATTTGATGACAGGATACCAGCCTCTGTGGAGCTATTTCAGTGGTGACGAGCTTGGGATCACATTCCTGAAGAAACTTACTCGCAACAATCGTCTTTGTGTTTGGGTAAGCATTTCTTACATCATGCCTTTGTTTGGGAAGCTTGACTCATTTGACCCTGCCGTCGAGGACTGGGCCCGATATGTGGAAACATTGTGGTATTTTATTCAGGCAAATTACATTGTGGCAGATGAAAAACAGCAAGTAATTCTCCTGACTGCCAGTGGAACTGTAGCTTTTTCTGTTATTAGGAGCCTAACTTTCTGTATTGGGATTTTTGACTAGGTTAAGCTGACTGGCAGAAGCCTGTGACTTTGGTTTAACCTATAATGAGATGCTTACAGACCACCTGGTATGTGGTATTCATTATGTAACTGCAAGAGCACCGCTGAAGCACAACTGGACTTCAAACAGGCATTACAACTGGCTTTATCATTGGAAAATGTGGCAAGTGGAGCGTACAACCTGCAGGATATTCTGATGGAGCTTGGGGAATGTCACTTGAGTGAAGGCAATTGCATATCCAATTCAGGACATATCCTGATCAGAGGGGCTCTAGGTCAGCCTACAGCAAAACCCCAAAAAAAGCCAAGCCTTGACCAAATGGTTAAAATTTTCTTTAGGATCTTGGCCAGCAAGCCAGTGCAGTTGTTGCCGGTATGTGGACTTGAGACGGCAAATGGGCCTGGCTAGACCTGTATTGAGTAAGAGAACTTGTAGGCTGGTATCCAGGAGAGTGCACACCCTGGAAAGTCCACCTACATCTGGTTTGGAAAAGTTGAATTGCTTAGTGACATCAATATCAGAACCAATCAAGATAAATGTCTGGTTAAGTGGTCATGCAGTACTAATGGCGGTTGAAACTGGCGCAGCTGTGTCAGTGATCCCAGAACCAGTTTTTAATAAAATTCACTGTAGACTGCATCCCTTAACTTTGTGTAAGACCTCGCTAGGCTGAGAACCTGTACTGGAGAAATCTTTACAGATTAAGCGTGCAACTTTGGTTCCAGACTCTTACGAAAATCAGCTGGTTCAGTTTTCAGTGCAGTATAAAGGCTCGGTCCCAAGCTTAACGGGGCAAAATTGATTGCAAGAGATTCACCTAGATTGGCTCAACATTTTTCAATTCAAAAATGATTGCCTGAGTGAAGTCCCAATTAAATACCTGGCAATTTTTCAGGAAGGTCTAGGAGCTATCAAAGGAGGCATGGCCACCTTGTATGTTGACCAGGAAGCAATTCCATGATTCTGCAAGGCTCATCCTGTGCCATTTGCCTTATGGGCAAAAAAGAGGCAAAAATCAGAAGGCTGGAAAGCAAAGGAATCATCAAACAGTCCAATTTACAGAATGGACAGCACTGGTTGTACCGAGTTTTGAAGTCTGATAGGGCAGATCACCTTTGTGGGGATTTTAAAGAAATGATAAATCACTTTTTACAGCTGGATAAATACCCAATCTCTTGCATGGAGGATTCATACGCAAAGCTGGCAGGGGGCTGTCCATCAAGAAGCAGGACATAAGCCACGCTTACTTGCAATTGCATTTAGACCAGGATTCCCAGAAGTATGCTACAATTAATATGCATAAGGGCTTGTATCATCAGCCTATTCAATTTTTCAGCGGATGATGGAGAATGTTTTGCAATTTTTCAGGTTGCCATTTACCCAGATGTTGTCCTAATAATGGAAAACTAATATGATCACTTGGAAAAAATACCTTAGGACTATATCCAAGACAGTGTATGCCTGAGAAGGGAAAAATGTGTGTTCCAGGCCCCTCAGGTGACATACTTGGGCTGCAGAGTCGACAAGACCAGATTACACCTGTTGGAAGATAAAATAAAGGCAATCAAAGGTGCCTCAGCTCCCACGTCTGTCCAGGGGCTTGGGTCATTTTTTGGGCTGGTAAAATATTATGGAAACTTCAAACATAACCTGGCCTCGATCCTGGCAGCTCGTAAAAAAGGGCAAGCCTTGGAAATGGTTGCATAGATAAGCCCTGGCTTTCAATGAAGTAAAGAAACAATTATCATCCTCTAAGCTGGTAGCGCTCTGTGATCCCAAGAAAGATCTGGTATTGACATGCGATGCCTCCTTGTATGGCATTGGCGTGGTATTAGCTCATGGGGGGCCCAATGGAGAGGAATGCCAATAGCGTATGCATCCAGGGCTTTGACAAATGCAGAGTGTAAATACGCCCAGACAGAAAAAGAAGGTTTGGCGGTCATATTTGGAGTCAGGAAGTTACACCAATATCTTTATGGACAAAACATTTGTGATAGTTACAGACCACAACCTATTAGGTCTGCTTAAAGAGGACAAGCCATAGCTTCAGACAATAGCTTGCCGCCAATAACTTCAGACGACATTCAGCAGGCTCTAATACTAAGTGCATATAATTACAAGTTAGAACACTGTCCGGGAGGCAGGGGAGTGGATGTAATGTGCCGCCTCCCATTGGCAGATATACCACTGGTGGTCACCCAAATGGAAGAGTCTGTAGAATGATAGAGATGTACAGCACAGAAACAGATCCTTCGGTCCGACTCATCCATGCCGATAAAATATCCTAAATAAATTTAGTCCCATTTGCCAAAATTTGGCCAATATCCCTCTAAACCCTTCCTTTTTATGTACCCATCAGATGTCTTTTAAATGTTGTACCAGCCTCCGCCACTTCCTCTCGCAATTCTTTCCATACACACGCCACCCTCTGCATGAAAAAGTTGCTCCTTAGGTCCCTTTTAAATCTTTCCCCTCTCACTTTAAACCTATGCCCTCTAGTTTTGAACTCCCCCACCCTGGGGAAAAGACCTAGTCTATTTACCCTGTCCATGCCTCTCATGATTTTATAAACCCCTATAAGGCCACCCCTTAGCCTCTGACACTCCAGGGAAAATAGTCCCAGTCTATTCAGCCTTCCTCTATAGCTCAAACCCTGCAACTCTGAAAACATGCTTGTAAATAATTTCTGAACCCTTTCAAGTTTCACAAAATCCTTCCTACAGCAGGGAAATCAGAACTGCATGCAGTAATCCAAAAGTGGCCTAAACAATGTCATGTACAACTGCAAGATGACCTCCTAACTCCTATACTCAATGCATTGTCCAATAAAGGCAAGCATATTGAATGCCTTCTTCACTATCCTATCGACCTGCGACTCTACTTTCAAGGAACTATCAACCAGCAACTCTCCCCAGGACTTTACCATTATGTGTATAAGTCTTGCCCTGATTTGCCTTTCCAAAATGCAGCACCTCACATTTATCTAAATTAAACTCCATTTGCCACTCACTATTTGCCCAGAGGGCAGTTAAGAGTCAACCACATTAATGTGGGTCTGGAGTCACATGTAGGCCAGACCAGGTAAGGATGGCAGTTTTCTTCCCTAAAGGACATCAGTGAACAAGAGAGAGTAAGAATTGCTGATACTGAAGTCAGAGATAACAGTGTGGAGCTGGAGGAGCACAGCAGGCCAGGCAGCATCAGAGGAGCAGGAAAGTTGACGTTTCGGGTCGGGACCCATCTGGCACTACAGTCAAGCCTACCCCAGCTCAGAGCCTCCCTCACCCAGACTGCAAAGGACCTCTTCTGTTTTTCATTCTTCGCAGGATCCACAACATCAACCAACGATTTTACTCCGCCCTATAAAAGCCCATTTCTGAAAAAGGGTCTTGACCCGACATGTCAACTTTCCTGCTCCTCTGATGCTGCCTGGCCTGCTATGCTCCTCCAGCTCAACCCTGTGTTATCAGTGAACCAGATGAGTTTTTCCCAACAATCAGCGATTGATTCATGGTCATCGTTAGATTCTTAATTCCAGATATTTATCAAATTCAAATTCCACCATCTGCCATGGCTTGATTTGAACCCAGTCACCAGAACATTATCTGGGTCTCTAGATTAACAGTCCAGCAATAATACCACTAGGCCATCGCCTCCTCGTAGGTCAATCAGTAACCATCTTTACTGTTCACTACACCAGCAATCATCTGCAAACTTACTGCTCATACCGCCTATGTTCGCATCCAAATCATTTATATAAATGGTGAAAAGCAGTGGACCCAGTACCAATCCTTGTGGCATGCCGCTGGTCACAGGCCTCCAGTCTAAAAAGCAACCCTCCACCATTCTGTCTTCTACCTTCGAGCCAGTTCTGTATCCAAATGGCAAGTTCTCTCTGTATTCCATGTGATCTAACCTTGCTAACCAGTCTACCATGAAGAACTTTGTCAAACACCTTACTGAGGGTCATATAGACCATGTCCACCATTGTGCCCTCATTAGTCCTCTTCGTCACTTCTTCAAAAAACTCAATTAAGTTAGTGAGACATGATTTCCCATGCACAAAGCCCCATGTTGATTATCCCTAATCAGTCCTTGCTTTTCCAAATATATGTAAATCCTGTCCCTCAGGATTTCCTACAACAACTTGCCCAAAACCGATGTAATGATATTAAATTTTCTGGATACACTCCCAGTCACGTGCAGAAAGATTCTGTCCTTTCAAAAGTGAAACAACTGGTTGGACCTGGAGAGACCAGCTGACAGGAGAGGATAGTGTAATGTTATGGGGAGCAAGAATGATTGTCCCAAGCAAAGGTCGCTGTCAAATACTGGCTGACTTCCACCAGGGTCATTGAGGGGTTTCTAAAATGAAGCTGTTGGTGAGAAGTATGTCTGGTAACCAGGATTGAGTGCAGACATAGCTGCATTGTTGGGGCAGTGCCCAGTGTTGATAGGTAAGAACCCAGTTCTTTCTCCTTCTATTTTAATAACTCACTGGCAATTAATGAATCATCCACTTAATAAATGACTGCAAACACTCCCCAGCAAAGGCAGTGTAATGATAACAGAACATAAAAAGGGGAGGGAAAAAACAGGCAAGGGAGCTAAATCAAACTGGAATCAGTGGAGGAAGTAATGCACCCAGCCCCGTGGTGCCCATGTCTCTGTCAGAAAGGGCCCAGCAGAGTGAATAGTGTTTTTATGTTAAATATCCTTTGCTTTTTTAATAGATGAATCCACTGATAAAGCTGGATTACAAGAGTACATTCAACAACAGCGACAACTATTCTTGATACAGGTATGAAAACATCCACAATACTTTACCTCTTAAAAGTCTTGAGATTGTTTGTTTACCTCTGAAAACTCACCCGGACCTCTTAGTAGGGAGAGGCATTGTGGCTCGCACAGGTGTTGTCAACTGGAAAAAGTACAGGAGTGAGACAACATGACAGAGGGTCTGCAGACTTGAGATGTTAACTCTCTCCACGGATCCTGCCAGACCTGCTGAGTTTCTCCAACAACTTGTTTTTTTATGACGGGGGATATGCTGTCTGATTTTCCTGTCCTTGGTATTCCTGCTGCAGTAGGTGGAGAGGGAGAGAAAGGTCTTGCTAGCCAGTCTCTCCAAATGACTGAAGCTCCTTGTCCCTGAAACTTTTGAAGTGAATGTCTTCTGCACCATCTGCAAGACCTGGACAAGTGTGGCATAGACACATCTCTCTTAAAGGCACCGTACCATCACACTGAAACCTGCTTCTTCCATTCACCACCCCAATATTTTTGCTCCCAAAAAATTGAAATTGTGTAAAAGTGTTATAGTTTAAAATTTGGCTTCAATAGTGTAACAAGCTGGAATCAACAGTAAAATACGCGAATATGCTGACTTATTAAGGGTTCCCCTGCAAATTACTTCTGATACAATTGAAAGTGCAAAGTCTTATGGGGTTCTTTCTTCCCCAACAAATTCAAGTTGGCGTGGCCGATTCCAATCATGAATTCATTGAGAGGATCTTTTATTGCCAGCACTTCTTCATAATGGAGACTTTCAGGCTACCATAAGAAGCAAGTCTTGGCCTGTTTCATGAAGAGCCAGACTGCCTGTCAGTCACAAAGGGGTGGGGACAGAATGGTTTGATGACTTGAGCACATCCTGGGTTCCAAGGCCAGCTGACTCCAAAGTGATTCTTGCACTGGTGGTTGCTCCTGATGAAGTTTCCCTCATAAAGTATTGCATTTGTTTTTGCTCAGGTTGCTCTCTGACCGTCTTTTCTCCCATCCTCATTCCTAATGATTAACTGTAGACTGTCATTGGATTGGTTCATGCTTTTCGGCAAAGTGTTGCAATAGTTTGCTATTGCCTTTGGCAAGATGGCTGATGAGGAAACCCTCCTGTTCTCACTGCCCTGCCTGCCATCGGGTCTGTTGGAAGGATTCTAGGCTGACAATCAACCTGTGTGGCCACATTAGGAATGTGCCTTCTTTGGACAAAATATCCTGCTGTGGGACTCGAACCTGGAACTTGTAGCTCCTGGATAGGGACACTACCCATTGTGTCACAAGACCTCCTCTTTTATCATGTGTAGAAGATTGTTCCATTTGTAAAATATGGGCTGTGGGTGTTGCTGTCTGGGACAACATTTAATGTCCTTCCCTGATTGTCCTGGACAAGATGGAGGTGAGCAGCCCTTCTTGAACCATTGTAGTCCTTGAGCTGTAGGGAGTCCCACAATACTAGAACAACAAAGAACAAAGAAAATTACAGCACAGGAACAGGCCCTTCAGCCCTCCAAGCCTGCGCTGATCCAGATCCTCTATCTAAACCTGTCGCCTATTTTCCAAGGATCTGTATCCCTCTGCTCCCTGCCCATTCATGTATCTGTCTAGATACATCTTAAATGACACTATCGTGCCCGCCTCTACCATCTCTGCTGGCAAAGCATTCCAGGCACCCACCACCCTCTGCGTAAAGAACTTTCCACACATATCTCCCTTAAACTTGCCCCCTCTCACCTTGAAATCGTGACCCCTAGTAATTGAGTCCCCCACTCTGGGGGAAAAAGCTTCTTGCTATCCACCCTGTCTATACCTCTCATGATTTTGTAGACCTCAATCAGGTCCCCCCCTCAACCTCCGTCTTTCTAATGTAAATAATCCTAATCTACTCAACCTGTCTTCATAGCTAGCGCTCTCCATACCAGGCAACAATTTTGTGAACCTCCTCTGCACCCTCTCCAAAGCATCCACATTGGTAATGTGGCGACCAGAACTGTACGCAGTATTCCAAATGTGGTCGAACCAAGGTCCTATACAACTGTAACATGACCCGCCAACTCTTGTACTCAATACCCTGTCCGATGAATGAAAGCATGCCGTATGCCTTCTTGACCACTCTATCGACCTGCGTTGCCACCTTCAGGGTATAATGGACCTGAACACCCAGTTCCCTCTGTGCATCAATTTTCCCCAGGGCTTTTCCATTTACCGTATAGTTCGGTCTTGAATTGGATCTTCCAAAATGCATCACCTCGCATGTGCTTGGATTGAACTCCATCTGCCATTTCTCCGCCCAACTCTCCAATCTATCTATATTCTGCTGCATTCTCCGACAGTCCCCTTCACTATCTGCTACTCCACCAATCTTAGTGTCATCTGCAAACTTGCTAATCAGACTATCTATACCTTCCTCCAGATCATTTATGTATATCACAAACAACAGTGGTCCCAACACGGATCCCTGTGGAACACCACTGGTCACAGTTCTCCATTTTGAGAAACTCCCTTCCACTACAACTCTCTGTCTCCTGTTGCCCAGCCAGTTCTCTAGCCATCTAGCTAGTACACCCTGGACCCCATGCGACTTCACTTTCTCCATCAGCCTACCATGGGGAACCTTATCAAACGCCTTACTGAAGTCCATATATATGACATCCACAGCCCTTCCCTCATCTATCAACTTTGTCACTTCCTCAAAGAATTCTATCAAGTTGGTAAGACATGACCTTCCCTGCACAAAATCATGCTGCCTATCACTAATAAGCCCATTTTCTTCCAAATGTAAATAGATCCTATCCCTCAGTATCTTCTCCAGCAGCTTCCCCACCACTGATGTCAGGCTCACCAGTCTATAATTACCTGGATTATCCTTGCTACCCTTCTTGAACAAGGGAACAACATTAGCAATTCTCCACTGTGGATGATTTTAAGCTAGCAACATCCAAGCATGCATTATAGGATCTTCAAAGCGGCAGCTACAGAGATAATGGATGCATTGGTTGTAAGAAGCTCCAGAGTCCAAATACAACACTTCTACTGGTTCCCATCTATCCTCTCAGGCCTCCTTGAAAAACTTTAATAAATTAGTCAAACATGATTTCCCTTTCATGAAGCCATGTTGACTCTGCTTGGATAGAAATTGTCTAATGGGCATAAAACAGTGATTGGGGATAAAGGGTTGGCAATGTGTAACCAATGGGGTTCCATAGGGATCAATGCTAAAACTGCAACCATTTACATAATATATTAATGAATTGGAGGAAGGAGGCAAATGTAATGTATCCAAACTTGCACATGACACAAAAATAGGTGGCAAGTCTAATTGCGAAGAGGATACAGCAGTTTACAGAGAGATATTGATAGGTTAAGTAAAAAGTTGACAAATGGAGCATAATGTGGGAAAATATGAAGTTGTTCATTTTGGAAGGGAGAACGAAAGAACAGCATTATTTAAACAGGTAAAAGCTGCAGAAAGCTGAAACGCAAAGGGGCCTGGGGATGCATGTACATAAACAAACAGAAAGCTAGTATGCAGGTGCATTAGATAATCAGGAAGTTTATGGAATGTTTGCCTTTATTTCAAGGGATTTAGAATATAAGGGTAGGGAAGTCTTACTGCAACTGTGCAAGGAACTGGTGAGACCACATCTAAGCACTGTGAGCAGTTTTAGAACATTGAACATAGAACAGTACAGCACAGTACAGGCCCTTCGGCCCATGATGTTGTGCCGAATTTTTACCCTAAACCTAAGATCTATCTAACCTCCACCCCTACCTTATACTATCATCCACATGCCTATCTAATAGCCGCTTAAATGCCCTTAATGAGGCCGACTCCACTACCCTCTCCGACAATGCATTCCACACCCCTACTACTCTCTGAGTAAAGAACCTACCTCTGACATCTCCCCTATATCTACCTCCACTCACTTAAAAACAATGCTCCTCGTAATAGCTACCTCCACCCTAGGAAAAAGTCTCTGGCTGTCCACTCTATCTATACCTCTGATCATTTTGTACACCTCTATCAAGTCACCTCTCATCCTTCATCATTCTAAAGAGAAAAGCCCTAGCTCTCTTCTCCGAAGACCTTCCCTCCATTCCAGGCAACATCTTGGTAAATCTCCTCTGCACCTTTTCCAACGCTTCCACATCTTTCCTGTAATGAGGCAACCAGAACTGGACACAATACTCCAGGTGCGGCCGAACCAGGCTTTTGTATAGCTGGAGCATAACTTCACGGCTCTTGAACTCAATCCCTCTATTAATGAAAGCTAACACACCGTACACCTTCTTAACAACTGTATCCACCTGGGTGGCAGCTTTCAGGGAACTGTGGACATGAACCCCAAGATCCCTCCGCTCCTCCACACTGCCAAGAATCTTTCTGTTAACCCTGAATTCTGCTTTTAAGTTTGTCCTTCCAAAATGAATCACCTCACACTTTTCCGGGTTAAACATCTGCCACGTCTCAGCCCAGCTCTGCATCCTGTCAATGTCCCTTTGTAACCTAGAACAGCCCTCCGCACTATCCACAACTCGACCCACCTTTGTATCGTCCGCGAACTTACTAATCCACCCTTCCACTCCTACATCCAAATCATTTACAAAAATCACAAATAGAAGAGGACCAGAACAGATCCTTGTGGTACACCACTTGTAACTGAGCACCATGTTGAATATTTTCCGTCCACTACCACCCTTTGTCTTCTAAGGGTCAGCCAATTTTGAAACCAGTCTGCCACATTTCCCCCTATCCCATGCCTCCTTACTTTCTGCATGACCTTACCATGGGGAACTTTATCAAACACCTTACTTAAATCCATGTATACCACATCCACTGCTCTACCTTCATCCACGTGTTTGGTCACCTCTTCAAAGAATTCAGTAAGGTTTGTGAGGCATGATCTACCCCTCACAAATCCATGCTGACTATCACGAATCAAACTGTGCCTATCCAAGTGATCATAAATCCTATCTCTCAGAGCCCTTTCCAATAATTTGCCCACCACTGAAGTAAGACTAACTAGCCTGTAATTTCCGGGGTTATCCCTGTTCCCTTTTTTGAACAAGGGAATGACGTTTGCCACTCTCCAATCTTCCGGCACTATACCCGTGGACAGTGAGGACAAAAAGATCATCGCCAAGGGCCCTGCGATCTCCTCCCTCGCTTCCCATAGAATCCTTGGATAAATCCCATCAGACCCAGGGGACTTATCTACCTTCAAGTTCCTCAAAATTCCTAGTACATCTTCCTTACTAACATCGACCTCCTATAGCCTACCAGCCTGTTTCACACTGTCCTCCCCTACAACTAGGTCCCTCTCAGTTGTGAATACCGAAGAAAAGTATTCATTAAGGATCTCTCCTATCTCTTTAGGCTCCGTGCACAAATTCCCTTTACAATCCTTGATCAGCCCTACCCTTTCTCTGGTCATTCTTTTATTCCTCACGTAGGTGTAAAAAACCTTGGAGTTTTCCTTGATCCTATCTGTCAAGGTTTTCTCATGCCCTCTTAAAGCTACAAGAGCAGATCAGAGGCTAGGAATCCTTTAGCGAGGTGGTGGTGGAGGATTGCTTTTCAGACTGGAGGCCTGTGCCCAGCGGTGTGCCACAAGGTTTGGTGCTGGGTCCACTGCTTTTTGCCATTTATGTAACTGATTTGGATGTGAACATAGGAGGTATGATTAGTAAGTTTGCAGATGACACCAAAATTGGAGATGCAGTGGACAGTAAAGAAGGTTACCTCCGAGTACAATGGGATCTTGATCAGGTGGGTCAATAGGCTGAGGAATGGCAGTTGCAGTTTAGTTTGGATAAATGTGAGGTGCTGCATTTTGGAAAAGCAAATCATGGCAGGACTTATACTCCTAATGGTAAGGTCCTGGGGAGAGTTGCTGAACAAAGAGACCTTGGAGTGCCGATTCATATTTTCTTGAAAGTGGAGTCGTAGGTCAATAGGATCGTGAAGAAGGCATTTGGTAAGCTTGCCTTTATTGCATTGAGTATAGGAGTTGGGAGGTCATATTGCAGCTGTACATGACATTGTTTAGACCACTTTTGGAATCCTGCATGCAATTCTGATCTCCCTGCTGTAGGAAAGATGTTGTGAAACTTGAAAGGGTTGAAAGGGGAGATGATTGCCTAGTGGTATTATGGCTGGACTGTTAATCCAGAGACCCAGATAACATTCTGGGGATCCGGGTTCAAATCCTGCCTTGGCAGATGGTGGAATTTGAATTCAATAAAGTATCTGGAATTAAGAATCTAATGATGACCATGAATCCATTGCTGATTGTTGGAAAAACCCATCTGGTTCACTAATGTCCTTGAGGGAAGGAAACTGCCATCCTTATCTGATCTGGCCTACATGTGACTCCCGACCCACAGCAATGTGGTTGACGCTTAACTACCCTCTGGGCAATTAGGGATGGGCAATAAATGCTGCCTGATCAGCGATGCCCTCATCCCGTTAAGAATAAAGGATGCAGAGGGTGATGCGTGTATGGAATGAGCTGCCAGAGGAAGTGGTGGAGGCTGATACAATTACAACATTTAAAAGGTATCTGGATGGATATGTGAATATGAAGGGTTTAGAGGAATATGGGCCAAATGCTGGCAAATGGGACTAGATTTATTTGGGATAACAGGTCAGCTTGGATGAGTTGGACTAAACGGTCTGTTTCCGTGCTGTACGTCTCTATGACTGTATGAATAGCTGACCTCCTGAGTCCCCAGAGACTATCCATCATCTACAAGGCACAAGTCAGGGGTGTGATAGTATACACTCTGCTTGTCTAGATGAGTGCCATTCCACCAAGCCCAGTACAACAGTAAACATAACAGACTTCCTTCCCTGAAGTATATAGGAAACCAATGGGATCTGTAACGGCAATTTGATTATTTTCAACTTCTTCTCATCCACTAATTATTGATCAATGTATTCAAACAATTAATGAATTTAATTTCCCAATGTGGCACAATAGAATTTCATGTTGCAAGGTCTGACCTTCTGATTCAGTTCTATAATTACTGGGTACAGTGTCCACTTCCCTACAACCCAGACCCAAGAGCACGTTGCCAGATCTGTTCCATTGTGATGTGTTGCTGTGTTACTGGTGTGAATTGGAGTATGATCGAGGCAGTAAATGGTCTCAAGATAGTGAGACTCCACTGTTGAGTGATCAGCTCTGGAATCTGTCTGTCTCCTCAAAATCCCTTACTCAAACTCTGTTGGTTGTCTGTAGTACACATCGGGATTAAAGGAAAACTCAATGAAAGGCTTGAAAGAAGCTGCTCTCAAACAGCAGCAATGCATGATCGAGGATGAAAAGAAACTCGCAAAAAAGAAACTCGCCATTGAAAATTTAATGGTGGAAAGTCAAACCAAGAGGACACAAGCTATGTTATGGTATGTTAGGAGTTGCTGTCTTTTGTAATTAAATAAATTTAACTAAAATATTCACTTTGATCTGACATTGTTCAATGACTAGGAGCTTTAAAGTGACAGCATTGTGTACTGCAGCACACAGAAATATGCAGACTGATTATTTTTGTTGTACAATGGAGTTGAGGATTAATGGAGGCAAGGGGTGAGGGTCAGGAAAGTCAGAATCGAGACCACAATCAATCAGCCACGATCTTATTGAATAGTGCAGCAGGCTCGAGGGACTGAATGGCCTGCTCCTGCTCCTAATGCTCATGATCTTATGATTTAGCCTCTACTAATCAATCATTGTGCCACTCATTTTCTTGGTGTTACTGTTTCACATTTCTGTGGCTTTACTTCTCCTCACTCTGTCTCCCTAGGAATGGCTTTCACACTCCCTTCTTATGCAAATACTGGCTGTTTTCATTAAGAGAGCTGTCTGCGTGTCTCATCCTGATCCTTTGTCAGTACCTTCCCTTTGTGCTTGTCATTCTGAGGTGTGTTAGACTGAACAAGAGACAGAAGGAGCATTTTGGGATGAACAGTGTGGAAGATAGAAAGTGTTGGGATGAAGGGATGGGAGAGTATCTGGTGACACAGGCGAAAGTGTGTTGGGGATGAATTGGGAGGAACGGTGTGAGAGAAAATAGGGAAGTAGAGAGATTAACGCTAGAAGTGAACTCCATAGGCTCACAACTCCATGTTGTGAAGTTTCTCCAGTACTCTCTTCTAAATATCTTAAATTTATTCCCATATCCCCTCACTACTAGGTGCTTCAACTCCTTAAGATTATCTACTTCTATTCATCTGGCCCCATTCTTTCATAATGCAGAACTGTTCTAATTCCATCGTATCTGCAATGCTGTGATGAAGACTGAATGTTTTAAATTTTTCTTTCCATTTTCTCATATGAAGCAAAGGGCTGATCAATCTATTCACCCTCTCTAAATCCTGAATATCCTTCCTACGGTATGAAGCCCAGTATAGTGTACTTTGTACTCCCAACCTGCCTGGATGGGTGCAGCTCCAACAACACTCAAGAAGTTCAACACCATCCAGGGCAAAGCATCCCGCTTGACTGGCATGACATCCACTCCCTCCAGCACTGATACTCAATAGCAGTGGTGTGTACAGTAGAAATTCACCAAAGCTCCTTAGACAGCATCTTCCAAACCCATGACCACTTCCATTTAGAAGGATAAGGGCAAAGGCAAGACATATGGTAACATCACTGCCTGCAATTTCCACTTCAAGTCACTCCCAATCCTGACTTGGAAATATATCGCTATTCCATCAGTGTCGTTGGGTCAAAATGCTGGAATTTGACCTAATGGCATTGTGAATCTAAGACAACTCACCACCACCTTCTCAAGGCCATCTAGGGATAGACAATAAATGCAATGCCAGCCAATGACACCCACAATCCTGTGAATTAATAATAAAGAAAAATACAGTTTAACTGAGATCCTACTCAGGTGTTCAGTTAGTCTCATTGTTACCTTTTGATGTTTATATTCAAAAACCTATTCCACTTATTCTATAGCATCTGTGCCAGAACCTAGAGTTTTGTTAGTTCTTTGAACTTTGAATTGGAAGTGCTGCCTTATGTCCTGTGAACTTGTTGCCCTTGTACCCCTGCCCCAGCCTCTCTGCTCTTCAACAACATCAAGTAATTTACGTTTAGATTTTAATTTCTTTTGTACGACTGTTTTCTACTTGTTCCACCTTAGCCCATTCCAACACGTGGCCCCTTTGTCCTTTTAAGGAATCAATTAACAGCTCCTGTTTTAGTTACATGCGCAAATTCCAACTGGTCCAATCCCAACTTGTTGATGACAACAAAGGCATCCCTGTAGAGCACCCTTATTCACTTTTCAAAGTCACTGACACCTACTCAATCCAGTTTGCCACCTTGCCCTTAATTCCGTTCTCCTTAAAAAAAGACAAAGAACTGTGGATGCTGGAGAAATTGCTGGAGAAACTCAGCCTATCAGGCAGCATGTGTGGAGAGAAAGCATAGTAAACATTTTGAGTCCAATGACTCCGGTAACTCCTTTCTGATGAAAAGTCACTGGACCCAAAATGTTAACTTTGTTTTTGCCACACAGATACTGTCAGATCTGCTGAGTTTCTCTATCAATTTATGTTTCTGTTCCATTCTCCTAAATTGTTTCTGATAGCCTCCTGTGTGATACGTGGTCAAACATTCTCTGCTAATCCAGGTGCGCTACATCCACATCAGTTCCTCATCCACCTTGCCTCCTGGCCGCTTAAAGAATTCTGTCATGTTTGTCAAATCCTTTTGAAATTCCTGCTGGATATTTCTAATGCTGTTTCTTTAAGATAAGTGGCCATTTCATCTTTAGAGTAAACTTCTCCCTATCACAGATAGTAAAGCCAACTGGTCTGTGATTCCCTGAATTAACTCTGTATTTTTATACAAATACTGACACTTCTCCCACACACTGCCCTTTCATCGACTGTCCTCCAACTCACAACCACACTCAATAGAACCTGACATTTTAGTTTTTTATTTCTTATTGGCCTCAGGATCTTGTTGGCCTTTTGGTTGTATGAAACTCCTCTATCCATAACAACATGGAGGTAAAGAGGGGAGTGGGACTATTTAAACAGCTCCTTTGCCAGGACACTAGACAGAATCGCTTCCTCCTATGCACTGTGTGTCATTCTATAAAGATCTTTTATAAATGATGCTAACATTTTCATACATTTTTTAGGGCAGAAGAAAATGCAAATGATAATCTTCTTGCAACGGAGCAAATAGAAAAAGTTACCGAGGAAGTGCTAAATCTTAAAAGGTGTGCAACATTTATTTTGAATGTCGAGGTACGATGTTGTACCTTGTAACTATACCATGTAAAAGCTGCTCCCAGGTATTCATTAAATCCTTTTACAAGAAATAATTGCATTAATTTATTTGAAGAATTATGTTTGCTGGTACCTGTCTTGCTGCTGAGTCAGATATTCCTACAGAATTATTTTAATTTGATCCAAGGAAGTGGGGATCACTGACTTCACCAGTTTTTATTGGCCTTGGGAAGGTGGTGGTGAGCTGCCTTTTTGAGCTGTAATCCACATGATGTACGTACACCAACAAGGCCATTAGGAAGAGGGTTCCAAAATTTTTACCCAGTGACGCTGAAGGAATGGTGATATATTTCTGAGTCAGGATGTTGAGTGGCTTGGAGGGGAACTTACAGAGGGTGATCTTCCCATATATCTGCCAAAGGTTTGGTTGGTGCAGGATTCAGCAATGAAGGAACTCCAGGCCAACTTCTCTCGAGCACATCACAACAGGCATTTGTGTGTGTGATGAAGTGGTGGATGTGGGCACAATTGCAACATTTAAAAGACATTTGGACAAGTACATGAATAAGACAGGTTTGGAGGGATATGGACCAGGAGTAGGCAGATGGGACTAGTTTAGTTTGGGGTTTTGTGCGGCAAAGACTGGTTGGACTGAAGGGTCTGTGTCTGTGCTGTATGACTCAATAACCAAATATTTATTTATACTTAGAAAGTACAGTCTCGTAGTATGAGCATATGGACTGCAGTGGTTCAAGAAGGCAGCTCATTACCACATTCTCACGAGCAACTAGGGATGGGCAATAAATGTTGGACCGCCCACATCCCATGAGTGAATTTAAAAAAGGACCATTGAAGTACAATTTTGATGTCAGGTCAACAACCTGCCTCTTGTGCTCAATAAAGCACCAATCTCTGAAGTGGCATCCTGACTTGTATCACAGCCCCGAGTGCTAACACATCAAGTAGGTAATTTTGGTGATCACCACCGTTGAACAATTTGCTTCACCTAGTTTTTTTTTTAACATTGCATAGTTTAATTGAAAAACAGCAGCAAGAACTGGATTATTGTATAACTGCAAAGATGTTTTTTGAACAACTTACACCCAAGGAACGGAAGGAGAAAAGGAAAGAGAAAATGGTTGATAGTGACGTCAGAAAGGAAGCTATTCCACCTGATCCTCTTGCTATAACGTCTTTAAATGGTATGTTATTTTGATTATCTCATGGAAAATATTTTATTTTTCATAGAATGACATAATTCTAAAGTCCTAATGACAACCACAAGGTGGGAATGGTGTAGCTGGAGGGATGTGTCGGCCAGTCAAGAGACCCTCTTAGTGGCTGTGGACTTGTTGAAAATGCCCAGGTTCAGCTTTGTTTCCATGTATGGAAGGGCTGTAATGTGCTAACATAGTGGTCCATAAACAGCAATTAAGTCCTTTCTTAACGTCAACTCGTTTAACATTGTGTTTCACCTTAACATTGTTGATGATAAATCAGTGTCAGGATAACTGTTTAATGTTATCAGTTTCACTTTACATGAGTTTCACTTTAACATTATTTTGCAAACTTACTATCTATGATCTGCTTGCTCAGCTGACCTTAACCTCACCTGCTTCCATCTTCACCCTCAGACCCTCTTCCAACTAACCCTCACTACCTCTGCAACTGTGTGCCTTTCTGTCATGCTTTGGCACCTTGCACCTCCCTCCCCATCCCCTGCCTTTTTCCTCCTTCATGGCTTCTCTTCTTGACATTGTTCTGTCCTGGTTTTGCCTCCAGCCCCAGTCTTGCCTCCTGCCTCTGTTCCTACCTTAGGCTCCAGGTTTGTCCTTCTCTTCATTATTGGCTTTGTTCTGGTGCCAGAATTCAGTCAATGGATGTAGTTCTGGGAATCCAGCTGCTTCCTGCATTGACCACCTTCTGCATGACATTGAGCCTCGTCATCTAACAGAACAATACCCGAAACGTCAGCTTTCCTGCTCCTCTGATGCTGCCTGGCCTGCTGTGCTCATCCAGCTCTTCACATTGTTATACAGTGAAGATGACAGGCTTTTCAAAAAAAAACTGGATATTTCGTGATGCATTTTATTTTGCAAGTCAGTTCAGCTAGGAATGTAATGTTACACAAGAATGATACATCATTTTAAATTTTACATTTTTTGTGGTGAGAAATAGTTCAAGGAACCTCATTGTGTCTTTATCATCGAATCCTGAAGGAAACCATGATTTACTTCAAAGTTGTTTCACTTAAAGTTGTGAGTTTCAGGGATGCAACTACAAGATTAAATATGGACTTACTGTCCAGCAATAGATATTGTTTCTTTAAAATATTTATCATGCAGAATGTTTTTTTATTCCAAATGCTTTAACTTCGTTGTGTTGCCTCTGGTGATGTTAATTTCACGCAATTGAACATCGCTACAATTCTCTGATTCTTTCCAAACAATTAGCCTTTTACAAACAATTAGTGACTGTGTTCCAAGAGGCCCAGGTTCAAGTCCCACCTGATCCAGATATGTGTAATAACATCTCTGAACAGGTTTATTGGAAAACAGGTTAATTTACCTTTTAAATGATAAACTTTGTGGAAGTTATGATGATTCAGGAATCCCTGGCTTTCAGTTCAATGTCCCAGCCTGTGAGAGAGATAAAGGATGAAACCAAAGCCAGATTGTGTTCACTTTATATAGTCTATTAGCTTCTAATTTTTTTTTACAAAATATCTTGTTCTATGAACATAACGTGCTGTACTTCTGATGAAATGCATCTTCATCCGCTACATTTTGTGGATCATGGGAGAAAGTCAAGTTCTTGACACTTCTGCATAAAAACCTAAAGAACTGCGCATGCTGGAAATCAGAAACAAAAGCAAAAATTGCTGGAAAAGCTCAGCAAGTCTGGCAACATCTGTGGAGAGAATTCAGAGTTAACATTTTGTGTTCAGCGACCCTTCCTCGGAACTCCAGGTCACTCATAATTAATGATTAATTACAGAATTAAAGATAAAGCATAGAAGGAGGCCATTAGGCCATTGTGCCCGTGCTGGATCTTTGAAGAGCTATTAGAAGAACTTCGTGGTTCTTTTTCCACAGCCACAAAAACTTTTCCTTTCCTGTATGTATACAATTTCCTTTTCAAAGGGAATTCATAATATCTAATGATGTAGGAAAGTATTCCACAGTGCTTCATCAAGGTGTAAGGGACAAGTACTTTTACAGGCAATAATAATTAGTTCACAAGACCTGTGCAACAAGGCCACATTCAGTGCATTTGTAAATCAATGGTATGATGTGTACATAGCTCAGAAAAGGTGCAAAGTGCAACAAATCATTAATTTTTCATGTTATTCTGCTTGTCGCACTTCAGAACCGCCATCTCGTAAAGCAAGCACGCTAAAGAAGAAAGGGTTGCAGTTGACCCCAAAGCTCTCGGCAGTCTCGGTGGATAATTCCTGGATGGAGTTAAGGTAAGGGAACCCAACATAAAAGGAGAGCACCAGAAGACGTGGAATTGCTGGGGTTCCTGGTCAACCCCTGCCAGGGAGAGACTTTAAAACAGTACAACAATCCCTGGTGCATCACAGCAGCATTGGTAGGTGATTTTACACTGGCATTTAAATGGCTACAAGGACAGGTCAGAGGCCAGGAATCCTGCAGCAATAACTCACCTCCTGACTCCCACAGCCTGCCCATCATCTACAAGGCACAAGTCAGGAGTGTGATGGAATACTTCCCACTTGCCTGGATGTGTGCAGCTTCAACAACACTCAAGAAGCCTGACACCATCCAGGACCAAGCAGCCCATTTGATTGGCACTACATCCACGAGCATCTGCTCCCTCCCCTACTGATGCTCAGTAGCAGCAGTGTGTACTTACTATCTACAAGATGTATTACAGAAATTCACCAATAATGCTTTGACAGCAACTTCCAAACCCATGACCACTTCCATTTAGAAGGACAATGGGAACACCACCCCCTGCAAATTCCCCTCCAAGCCGTTCACTATCCTGACTTGGAAATATATTGCCGTTCCTTCCGTGTCACTAGGTCAAAATCCTGTAACTCCCTCCCTAAGGGCAATGCAGATCAACCCACAGCACATAGACTACAGTGGTGCAAGAAAGCAGCTCTCCACCTTCTCAAGGACAATTAGGAAGGTTGGACAATAAATACCGTCATTCCCTATTATTCCCGTATCCCACGAATGAATTTTAAAAAAATATAAGTTATGATAGGTAACCAAAAGCTTGGTTAAAGGTAAGCAGACGGATATAAATAGATTGGGTTAGTGGGTTCGCAAAATATGGGAAATGTGTGAAAATCTGAAATTGCTCACTTTGTCAGGAAGAATGAAAAGGTATAGTATTACCAAAAAGAAGAATAATTGCAGAATTCTGATGTGCAGAGGGAGCTAGGTTATTTATAGACTCCCTACAGTGTGAAAACAGGCCCCTTGGCCCAACAAGTCCACACTGACGCTCAGACCATCCCACCCAGACCCATCTCCCTAATCTACACATCCCTGAACACTATGGGCAATTTAGCATGGCCAATCCACCTAACCTGCACATTTTTGGATTGTGGGAGGAAACTGGAGTACCTGGAGGAAACCCACGCAGACACAGGGAGAATGTGCAAACTCCACACAGACAGTCACCCAAGGGTGGAATTGAACCTGGGTCCCTGGCGCTGTGAGGCATCAGTGCTAACCACTGAGCCACCGTGCCGCCCCTATCTAGTTATCTAGTGCTCGAGTTACAAATTCAGTGCACAGATATGGCACATAATCAAAAAGGCTAATGGAATGGTATCCTTTATTATGAGAGGAATTGAACCTAAAAGTAAGGACATTATATTTTAATTATATAGGAGGTTGATGAGTCAATATCTCGAACTGGCTAAAATGATCTAAAACCTGGAAAGCTGTGTGAATAACTAGAGAAGCTAAAAAACTTGGTGTTTTCTCAGAAGTGGCCAGACTGTGAACTGGGGAGTTTCTAGTTGGTCAGTTGTGAAGGAAGGAACTCTGGAAAGCTACATTATCAGGACTGTTGTGAGCCAAAGGAGAGAGGATTCAAGGATGTCTCTCTCTTGCTGTGATGACTGATTGTGTGAAACTGGAAGATGAAAGCTGTCATCAGCTAGGACTTCTGACCTATTTGTAAACAAAGTACTGTAGAACTGTGTAGCTACATAGTGCCATGTTTGGGTAAGGAGTGTTGGGTTACTTGTGGTCCTCTAAGAGGTATCTTTGTCATGAAATTTATCTTTTCATCAGTATGTTTAGTACTAAATTAAGTATCTTTTGCCTGCTAATTCATGTTTAGTTTATGCTGATTCTGATCTGTGTTAATGTAAGACTTAGATAAAGTTATATCCTGTTGACAGTTTCTCCTATGGGGTCATTTGATACATTTGGTTAGTTTGATTTATGGTTCTCCATGGGGATCGTCTCAGATTCTAAATACATTTGCAATGATTACCAGCCAAAAGGCCTTTTAAAAACTCTGTCTCTCAAATATTATATCCATCCCACTGCTGAAATGTGCACCAGTAATTTTGATTCAAAGACCAATAAATCTTTCTGTAGTGATTGTAACAAGGTCAGCCAGGTGGACCTCATAGAGTATGAGTTCCCTGATTGGGGCTGTTAATTGGTTCCAACCAGGGAGCCTGGCGGATAAGAACAGGAGTGTCAGACATCCTGTTCTCTCTGAGAGCTGGCTCCGAGGGAGCTGGATCAGTGTCAGGGACTCTCCACGTGTAAATAAAGGGTGACTTGATGACAAGATACCGGCCTCTGTGAAGTTATTTCACTTTCATTTCTGCTCAAGGCTTCCACTACCTGAAGTTAAATTTCTGTGAAGTTTTGATAACTAATGATAAACTCACTCTGGAGTTCAATATAACCAGGCTGTATTGCAGGATGTTGGATTTCTCCAATCATGGATTCATGAAATTATCAAGCTTGTTGTTTGACAAGTCAATCCCATCAGACCATAAGGCATATGAGCAGAAGAAGGCTATCTGCTCTCCTTTGCCATTCAACGAGACCATGGCTGATCTGATAATCCTCAACTCCTCTTTGTTGCCTTTCCCCATAATCCTTGATTCCTTTACTGATTAAAAAACTCTTGTTCTGCTGTGTCCTGTTTGCTGTTTTTTCCCTCTCTCATTGATCTCAGCCTTGAATATACTTAATGACCGAGTCACTATAGCCCTTTGCAGTAAAGAATTCCACTGATTCACTACCCTCTGAGAGAAGAAATTCCACCTCATCTCTGTGTTAAATGTATGGCCTTTCATCTGAGATAATGCCCTCCAGTCCTAGACTCTCCCACAAGGGGAAACAGCCTTTCTGCATGTACCTCTCATTCTCTAAAGAATACAGTCCCAATCTACTCAACCTCTCCCTATAAGAAGGTCCCTGCATTCCCAAGATCAGTCTAGTGAACCTTGTGAACGCAGTGAAAAGTGTGAAGTGATTCATTTTGGAAGGTCAAATTTGAATGCAGAATACAGGGTTAGTGGCAGGATTCTAGGCAGTGTGGAGGAACAGAGGGATCTTGGGGTCCATGTCAATGTATCCCTCAAAGTTGCTACCCAAATTGATAGGGTTGTAAAGAAGGCGTATGGTGTGTTGGCTTTCATTGGCAGGGGAATTGAGTTTAAGAGCCGCAAGCTCTATAAAACTCTGGTTAGACCACACTTGGAATATTGTGTTCAGTTCTGGTCACCTCATTATAGGAAAGATGTGGAAGCTTTAGAGAGGGTGCAGAGGAGATTTACCAGATTGCTGCCTGAACTGGAGGGCAGGTCTTATGAGGAAAGGTTGGGGGAGCTACGGCTTTTTTCATTGGAGCGAAGGAGGATGAGAAGTGACGTGATCGAGGTGTACAAGATGATGAGAGGCATAGATAGAATGGATAGTCAGAGACTTTTTCCCAGGGCAGAAATGACTATTACGAGGGGGCATAATTTTAAAGTGATTGGAGGAAGGTATAGAGGAGATGTCAGAGGTAGGTTCTTTACACAGAGAGTGGTGGGAATGTGGAATGTGCTGTCGGCAGTGGTAGTGGGGTCAGATACTTTAGAGACTTTTAAGTGACTCTTGGATAGGTACATGGAGGATAGTAAAATGTAGGGTATGCAGGGTAGATTGATCTTAGTAGGATAATAGGTTGGCACAACATCGTGGGCCGAAGGGCCTGTACTGTGCTGTACTGTTCTACGTTCTATGTTCCATGAACCTTCTCTAGACTGCCTCCAATGCTAGTATGTCTTTCTTTAGATTGTTCAAAACTGTGGGCTGATTAGTGTCTTGCACAGTTTTAGCAAAACCTAACTACTTTCATATTCCATTCTTTTTGAAATAGAGGGCAACTTTCCATTTCCCTTCCCAATTATCCACTAAACTCGGATGCTAGCTTTTAGTGATTTATGCGTGAATACTCCCACAACCCTCCGTGCTGCAGCTTTCTGCAGTCTTTCTCCATTTAAATGTTATTCAGCTCCTCTCTTCCTGTCAAAGTACATAACCTTACATTTCCCCACATTGTATTCCATCTGTCAAATTTTTACTCACTCGCTTAACCTGTCTATGTCCCTCTGCAGATTTAATGTCATTCTCACCACTTGTCTTTCAACCTATTTTTGCGTCATCTGCAAACTTAACTGTACTGCATTCACTTCTCTCTTCAGAGTCATTAATACATTTGTACATGATTATGGCATGAGCACTAATCCTTGTGACACTCCAGTCCACCCCACAGCTTGCCATTTCAAAATGCCCTCTGTATTCCAATTCTTTCTTCCATTAGTTAGACAATCACCTGCCCAACTAATGCACTACTTCCAACACCATGAGCCCTTAATGTCTAATGTGTGGTACAATATCCAATGCTCCCCAAGATGTTTGTGAAGTGCTCAGTGTCTTAACTTTTCTGTGCTTTAACATTCTTGACTTATTGTCTTTAATTTTTGTATTTAAGTACTTGAATTTGTTCCTGCTCAGGGCAGAATCTGATCTCGAAGAAAAGCCGATGGACGTCAAGCCTAATGTCAGCCCACTGGTATGTTGGAAATGATTGCAGCACAAATATCCTAAACTAAATGTTTGCTTTCCAAGTTTAGTAAAAGGCTAGATACTGTAAAGATCATCTGGAGTGGTGTGATAAGATTCCAGAGTATAAAGACATTTAAGGAAGATTCCTGTGTTAACTGTGTATAGTTCTATATCTGTCCACTAAAATAATCTGCAAGCTGTTGCTCACTGCACCTTAATTACACTTAGAACAATTTATCATCCTGGCGTATGTGAAGAAAATCAAGTATCAATAGAGAACCTGTAATGGTGACCTTTCATTTTTTTGAGGTTTATGGCAAGAAAATTATTGTCGTTCTCCTTATCAAAATGTTCAGTAATCACATTGGAAAGTATGCAATAGTCTAATGCATCAGCAAGTTTACATCACCTGTTTTTATTCTAAATCTTATTCTGACAGCACAGTGTCAATATATATAATACATTTCTGCAACAGATCTTTCTTTTAAATAAAATAAATGAGTAGATGTTTCTGAATAATACTTTTGTCACTTTTTATACTAGGGATATCCAATCGCAATCTTCAACTCTATGACAGGTTCCTCCGTACAATTAGTAACTGCTTTGGGTGATTTTCCCACTTTGGGGGTGCTTTGCTAAGGCAGTTGTTGTTATAATGAGATTTGACTTGCTTTTGTCCCTTTAAGGATCAGGAGCTGTATTTTAAGGACCCACAGGAAATCTTGGACATTTTCTTTAATTTGGAAGAGCAGATAGTTTCCCTTCTCCAATATTGTCGTGAAGTTGAGGACGACATCGACCGAGTTAATCAGAAAATGGCTGCAACACAGGAAGCTATGTACGTGTGACTTTTCAATATTTGTCTTGTAATCATTGTTACTAAAAAATATAATCCAAATGCTTGTGAAGAAAGAATTTGAAAATGAGGTGGGGGAGAGTGGGCAACATAGCATTGGCCCTTTCAGACTCGATGAAGGATTTGGGAGGAATTTACTTCTAGAGAATGGTGAGAAGGTGGAACTCTCTGCCACATGGAGTGGGTTCAAACTCACACATGAAATGTGAACACACAGTCCAGGTAGTAATTGCAGTGCAGTGCTGAGTGAATGCTACACTGTCAGAAGTGCCATCTTCCATTAAAGTGTTAAACCAAGCCCCGTCGGCCTTTTCTGATGGATGGAATAAGGATCACATAATTAAGAGGAGGGGAGCTTCCTAGTGTCCAGGCCAATGCTTGCTCTTTCATAACAATATAAACACAGATTATCTGGCCATTTATCTTATTGCTATTTGTGGGATCTTGCTATGCAATCTGTAACCTCCAGTGATGATGCTTGAACACAGTTACAGTTATAAAGAGGGAGTGAGAAAGGGATTTTCATTCTAGCCTGTGGATTATATTGCTGCCTCTGAGTTATGGAGCAAAATCTAGTGGCTAAAGACCATGCCCCAGCCAAGGTATTCAACAGAGCACTAACTCTGGCATCTACTGACACTAAGTTTCATCACACACACAGTGTGTTGGTGGTGATTTCCTCAGCTGTCCCTTGATTTGAGGATAACATCTGCTCAGGATCACAGGCTTCTGCTGTGCATTATTATGTGCCTGAACAGCTCCATTCAGAACGCATGGAATTTTGGGCATACATGACATTCCATGGAGCAGTGGGATCTGCAGAGCAGGATTTGCTTCCTTTTCTTTCCCTCTACAGCCATTGTGCCTCATCATTAAGGTGTTTTGTCTCAAAGTGTGATGCATCTTGATGGACATGTTGTTTTGAATGGCAACAATCGGTAGCGAACTCCTCCCAGTCATTAATGTCAATGCTGCTGTACATCAAGAAGAGCTTCAGACTTTGTAGCATTTTCTTAATCTCCCCTAGAATGCTGACCAGTCAAGAATTAAGAAATCAGGACCTGAAGGGGAAGATACTTGCCAGTCACTCAGATGTAGTGTCCAGTCCATCGAAGTTGATTTTGTAGGAGTGTTGCCTAAAAACATATGGGGTTCGCTTCAAGAAGGTACTTGTGTTTGTTCAACAGTACCCCTCACCCACACTGAAGCTGGAGGATGTGGCGGAGGCATTGCTGATGGGATTTCTCCAGCGCTCTATATGTCACTGATACATGGTCCAGGTATAGCTGGAACTGCTCTGCGCTCTAGGACTTCAGTTGACTTCCAGAGGTCTTTGTTGTCAAACACTCGCTGCTGTAGTTTGTAGGAGGATGAGCTGCTGCAGCTGATCCATGTTGGATTTAATTGACAACGGTGGCCTTCTGAGAGAGGTGGCTGCCAAGGTTTGGGACATACTCAATATATTCCAGACTCTCCTTTAACCAATGTAACTGGGGTATGTAAAAACCGAAAGAAGAGCCAGACCTGCTGAGCTGTTCCAGCAACTTTGTTTTTGTAACTGGAGTATGTGGCTGACCAGATCTGGGATGATATGAACTTTGTTTTGACAACATTCAAGGATCAGCCAAGTCTCGTGTTTGCAGAGTGAAAGAGATCAGGAGTGGATGAAAATCTGGTGCAAAAAGGGAAAAACACTGTAATGGTGCAGTGATAATGTCATTGGATTCGCAATCCAAGCCTTCCTGCCCTGACAACTGTTCTGGGAACATGGGTTCAAATCCCACCATGACTGATGGTGAAATTGAATTCAATAAAATTTGGAACAACCACATAACCATTGATTATTATTGTAAAATACTCTTTATGGAAGGAAATCTGCTGTCCGTACCTGGTTGGGCCTACATATAACTTCAGTTCCACAG